CTAAATGCACTTTCACATACGCTTACAACATGCCTCTAAAATATCTGAAACACTCGAAACATACGCTTGCAACATGCCTCTGAAACAATTACAACATATACAACATCCCATGATCTACTTTTGCAACATCCATATAAACAATTACAACATACATATAAAACGCCTGAAACACTTGAAATATACATATGTCAGCCGGCTCCCAGCGTGTCTGCTAGAGGAGGCTCTTCTTTGGCGTAAGCCTCAGGAGAGTCCCACGTCCTCCGATGCTGTAAAGGACATGACGGTCAGTTTACGACAAAAATTCATTAGAACAAAAGGACGAAAAAACTCTTGACTCACCTTGACGCCATCGAACGATGACGTTTTGGGGCTGGCCCACCCGACCCCGGCTGCTCCTCGTCGACACATTGCCGCTTCAAGCCCTCCCTCTGATCGGAGGGTCTGGATGGAGCAAAGCGACCGGTTCCCGCCGACTCCGAGGGCACCACGGGAGGCCTGGACGGAGCGGGGCGGCTTGATTCCGCTGGCTCTGAGGGCGCGTCCTCCCCCTCCTTCCTCGGGGCATGCCACGGGAAAGGCCCCGCCTATGGTAGAGATGGATCCTCGTCCCCGCCGCCTAGGTCATCCCATTGGATGGGCAACCCGAAATCGTCCCCGCTGCCGAGCTCGTCCCATTGGATGGGCGACCCGAAACCGTCACCTTCGTCTTCTTCTTCTTCCTCTTCCTCTTCCGAACCCTGCCACCGCTTTCCTCGGTTTAGCCTCGCCCACTGCTTCGCACACCGCCTTGCCTCCTTGTCGTATTTATCCTTCTTCCTCCGCTCATCTACAGTGTGGTTCGCTGCCCTCACAAGTGCATGCTCCTGCAGCGGTGCGACGGAGGTGATGCATGGATCGGAGCTAGTCGTAGCGTTGAAAACTGAAAGAGAAAACACTGAATACATAAACGGATTACGATGGTCGGATGGATCCAAACTAAACTTGTTTCTGGAAACCACAACAGGTCTCCTGCTGCTTGTTCGAGAAATTAAAATTGAAAGAAAAATGGATCCGGGAAAGAGTCAGAAAGAGGCAAAGCGTGTAGAAAATAAAGAACAAACCTTGGCGCCGCATCTCCGATCCTCCCTGGGGACGCGAGAGGTAGCTTATCCCATGGAATCCTCCAAGGATCAGAATAACAACAACAAGAACAGCTCCTGCCTGCGTCCGGTCGGCAGCGCATCATATTGACAAAGGTAATGAGTATTATACGATAATGATGGTCCTGCATGCCGTCAGGCAACCAAAGTAAACGGCCGAGTATATATACTCTTGCAAAAAAAAAAAAAATCTCTTCTTATATTAGTACCATTTAATTTATTTCCTGTACTACAGTGTTTTCTTCGTTTCTGTATCAGTTAGGCATACATGGACGGTGTTTAGGTGCAGTTGCAGGCAGCGGCTGCTCTGTCCGAAGTCCGAAGACATATTTCCTTTGAGATCGAAATCGAAGGGCCCAAGGAAATCTAGAACACGTAGCCACAGTTGTTTGAGCTCCACCCTTCTTCTCCAAGGAAATCAAGAGCGAAATCTTCACTCTTAGATTTGCAATTTTAGAGTTATTTTTCTAAGCTCCATATTTGGCTCCTCTGGTATTTCGAGAAGGATCGAGAGGGAATTTTTTATATCTAGATGCGCTTTTTAGAGAAGGTCGGAAACATCTCGGCCATACCTTTCCAACTGCCCATGAAAGTGGCCTCTATTTTTAGAGGTGACAAGCGCTACCAACTGCTAAAGGTAATTCAAGCAAGGTATGTGTGGCCATTAGAACTTATCAGAGCTGCCGACCCTGCTATATATTTGCATGACAAGATGATGATGATACTCAAAAAGTCAAAAGTACGTGGATGACACATATCATTATTAGCTTTTACAGATCTTGATGTTACATTTGTTCTGAACACTCAAGCCACGTATTCACATTGATTGTATATTTATTTCAGTGGTTAGGTGTTTGACTTAAACACATATATAAATAAGAATCAAATTTGACAGTTGGTACAACAGCCGTACACAGAAGTCCACTTAGTTATTCTAAATCTTTATTAGAAGGGGCACAAATGACCCCATTTTCTTTGGGTGTGCGAGGTGAAGAAAGTCGTCATGAATTGATGTTTTTCTCTGCCTCTTCCTCCAATCTGATTGGCATCGCGTCGCACAACCTCCTCTTCGCCTTATCCCCTTTCCTTTGTTTCTCTACATGTTTTAAGTTAAAGCTTCTCAGATCAAATTTGAAAGTCTCTTTGTAAAGATCAAATTGAAAGTTTTTTTTATTTGTGCTAGAATCACTTTGGAATATGTGAAAGTTCTTTTTATATTCAGTTGAATGCTTGCATTGAGTTGATAGCTTTTTGACTATTTTTCGGTAGTTAGAATATTTTCCTTGTAAAGTTAGAATATTTTTTCTGGTGAAGATGAAACATGTTTAAAAGTTTTCATAACTTTTTTTTATAAAAAATCACATATTTTTCTAAATATTTTGTATTTAAGCTGGATTTTTTTTATCAAACTAGAACATGTTTCTTGTAAAGGCACAACATTTATTTGGAAGCTAATAGATTCTTTTATTAAGGCAGATAAATTTAGAAACATTAAAAATATATGTTAAACTTTTTAAATCATATGAAAACATGTTGATATGGTTTTTACAAACCAGATATTATAACCTAATAACCACAAGGACTGCAAGAAGGGAAACAAACTAGAAAATAGAATGTCAATTATAACCTCATAACCACAAGGGCTGCAAGAAGGGAAATAGACTAGAAAATAATAAAGTGTCAATACTGGACCTGGGACAACAAGACCTGTCATGGGCCAGAAAAAGGGAAAGGAAGGCTGAGACCTTTTTTGTTTTGTTTTGCGAATAGGAAGGCCGAGACTCAGTTGTGCTCGGTGACAGAAGCCCATCCTTACGCAGCCCATGTGTCGATTGATTTTTGCGCGTGGGCCCATTTATCCTTTTCGCCTCACTGCCATTTCTCTATAGTTGGGTTGTTCTTGATTTGTGGGCTGTGAAAAGAGTTTCATGAGTGGGATCCAATGCATTCTCTACTCAACCTCCTTTCTTTGAGCTGAGTTAGTTTTCTCTCCCCTTTTTCTCTTGTTATTATTATATATGGTGAGATATATGAACTTTTTTCTAAGTTCGCACTCTGTTTGTTTTTCTTAAGTGTAATGTTATTTTTCTCCTTCCTTTAGTGTTTGAACTATATTTTTCTCCGTTTCAAAAAATATATTTTTCACAACTATATGGTGTTTGTTCTTTAGCATTTTTCACAAGACTAGTTGCTCCAAGGATGGCCATGCATAGTGACATTGAAGATGTTTTTTGTTTCGACAAGAACAAGGCATAGCGACCTGTGGTGGGCGGTATCAGGTGGGAAGGAGGTGGCCCCCTATGGACTGGTTGGGCAGTGACATGCCATGCATGCCTGTGGCCTGCTTTTGGTACGAAAACAATCTCCCACGCCACGCAAATAAAGGTGTGGTTGAGGGAGGTTCATGTGTCCTGAGGTCGATTATGTGGATTTTTGGTCGACCGGTGTTGTTTCCCTTCCTAGATGCATTTTTTTTCCTAAGAAGGAAGGATTTTATCAATTTAAGGTCATTACATCGGCAAGTGTTGTTGTTGATGTCGTTTTGTGGATCATTACATCAGTTATGTCGAAGGCATCGATAGATGTCGTGCAAAGTTTTGAAAACATGTTTATACATCGATTAGAATGTTTTGAGAATTTTGTAAAGTTTTCTAATTTTGAAGTTTCTAACGATGTTTTCATGAGCTCTAAATATTTTATTTGGATTTATCATATCCCAATCTATATGTAGATTTTTACATAATTTTTTTTAAAGCTTAGATACATTTTCTATGGTTTATAACGCTTGTCAAGTATATTTACTGAATTTCTTTAACTAAAAAGGAGAGACCTGCCTTCACAACCACTCTAAACAAGGCCAGGAAACTAATTTGAATGGTTTTTAAGAATTCAGGAAGCAAGATGCGTAGTTTTGAAGTTTGAGGAGGAACATCAGACTATAAAAATAGTTGAAGGATGTAGAATTAACTTTGTCCTTTGCTTGGGCTTGCCACGCCTAGGTAAGCCCAGACAACCCATTATGCTGGTTCCTTTATATTTGGATCTGCCCGCCGCGCGGCGGGTATCATATCACATGGCCAACGCAGCATGAATGCATGCGTTTTATGAGTTGTTAGTTGGTCTCTCTCCCTTAATCTCCGTAGCTATAGCTCTATATTGTCAGAGCATCACGTCCATTGTTAATTAATGTACTAATAATCAATTCGCCGTGCTAGCTAGATCCACTGTCAGTTGATTAATCCAAGTGTGGCGACTGGCGACGACAACTGCAGTTAAGCGATCCAGCTAGCTAGGTGGTCTGAATCATCATCAGTCTGATGCTGGTCCCAACAAACAATGCAAGCTGACAAACTAGATGTGCAGGTTTGGATTGGCAGCCTACGTGTTCCGTTCCTGGCCCTCCAGTCACCTAGCAGTAACAAACTTATCTGTTCTAATTAAATAAACAAAACAAAAACTTGAGATTCTTTCGTTCTTTGCAGGACGATCGAACATGATGCATGCATGGTTGGAAATGTAATGATATGGTTCCTTCTGCTGATTGACCAGTTGTTATGTTACTAACCAAGTAACAACCATCCATTGATCCATATATATATAAGTAGCAGACTACCATTTGCATGCATGTATGGCTGCTGGAGGCTTGGATCACAGGATTACGTCTGAATAATTAGCGTTTATTTAGGCTGTGTTTAATTTAGCGATCGAATTACTTACACTACTAGTCGATCGATCGTCTACTAGGTAGGAGAAGGCAAGTTTTTGTTCAGTACTATGGGGCATGGCGCCACTGGTGCTGCAGCAGCGGTGGTTGACCACCACTCAGCAGCAGCAGCTGGCTGCAGAGTTCTTCCCGTCATTATGGAGGAGGAGCCGCCGGCGATGACGACGGAGAGCCACTACCAGCAGGGATCACCATCGGAGGCGAGGGTGGCGGCGGAGCGCAGGAAGGCCATCGTGGCCAGGATGCGGGAGCTGCTCAGCCGGGCCGCCGCCGCGCAGGCAGCGCACTCGAGGCTCCGCCGCTCCACCGTCGCCACCGCCAGGAAATGGAAGGTACGTTATACCAACTCGAGCTGTCAGTGTCACGTACTGTCAGAGGACCGACCGGCCGGGTCTTCCTTCCATTTCCAATTTTCCATCCGTGCTTCACGACGTGCTGGTAATAAATGCCGTCTTCTGTGTGTTTTTAATCTGTCATGTCAGAGGGCGGTAGGCCTAATCCAGAAGAGGGGAGCCTGCAAGTGCGACGCCGGCCATGAGCGAGTGGCAACTGTGCGGGAAGACGACGGCGCACTACTGGCCTCGGCGTCGGCGTCGTCCATCTCCAGCAACGGCAGCTTCAGCTGGGACGCCGGCGCCGCTGATGAGACCTGCTGCTTGTCTGCGGCCAGCTTTCCAGGTCCGGCGCCGCTTCTGTGGCCGGCGTTGGTACCCTCGCCGCCGGCGGCGGCTGCGGCGACGACCAGCACTACCGTGCTGCGGCTTTCATGTAGCAGCAGCGGCGGCTCGTGGTCGGCCGAGGATGATGATGATTACGACGACATCAGGATGGCTCATTGGGTGACCACCGATTCTGACTGTAAGTGCTCTGATCCATCTCGATCCATCCCATGATCTGTTTGTGTTCCCTGTTCAGTGTTCACAAACCTGCATCGGCATTCAGCTCTACATCCTCAGAGATCGATACAATACAAGGATTTCTGTATGTGGTAATAACAAAATTAAAACAAAAAATTTCAGTTGTGGTGTTGGAGCTCTAGCGATGAAGATGCATGATCGAGCCGCAAAAAAACCAAGCGGTAACGTGCCGTGCGTGCTTCTTCGGCCTGGGCTATTGTGTTGTGGGCCATCAGAGACTCGTGTTTCGTTAACGGAGGCCCGTCAGCTTGGACTTGGACACCTATGGCTTCTTGACAACAAGGCCCACGTGACTGTTACGGTGGGCCCCTTTCTATACACGTGGACTTCTGAGGGAATAATATTCTGTGTGTTTCTCACTCTGCCTCCCCCTTGTACCTCCTAGATCTTGGCTTAGCTTCATGAGGAAATTATGAAATAATAAATCCAGCTTTTGTTGAGTACTATGCTATTATTATTGGATGATCGTCTTCGGTGTTTACGTACATTGCAAAATATTGGTATGCACACAGCTAATCAACAATTTTTATTTTGACCTTGTCCCCCATGCACCGCTAAGCCCTCCCACACACGGTGTTGCAATTTCACGGCTTCCCTTGATGTTGCACGGCAGCACGCAGGCGGCGAGGTAGCAAGGATGGCAGATCGAGAAGGGGTGGCGGCTCGGTGCAGGGAGCAACGGGCATATGCGTCGTCGTCTCAGAAGCCCATGGGGAGAATCGGTCTGTCTAATGTTATGTCCGTCTAAGTCGCTCTTGTGCTGGGTTTCGTGTGGACAGACCGATTCCTTCCTGCCGGCCCTGCACTGTACGTGGTTAAATTGCCGGCTGTTAACAGATTACGGTGATCCTGCCGGCAATGGCAATTAAGGGAGAAACAAAACAAAACCAATGGAATTCAAAGGGAAGTCATAATTCTCAATGGCATAGAAGGAACAAGTATAGATTTGAGTGGCATACAAGAAATTTTCTCCAAATTTAACCAACCCCCCTAATTAAACCGAAGAAATAGGGAAGTAATATCTTGTCATGCCGGTAAAATAAGGGCAGGCTCCAGCAGCTCTTGGGTCCCCACCGGCGCCTGCACTTTTTTTTTTTGGTCGCTCGACGTTCGATGGCTTGGGCCAGTTTCTCCCGTCGGCACCTGCACTCTTTTTTGGTCGCCCGACGTTCAGTGGCTCGGGCCACTTTCCCGTTGACGATATGCATGATAATGATGTGGAGGGCAAGCAAAGGCAGCTCTCGTTTGTCTTCTAAAATCAATTTTGTGGTAGTGGGGGCATATGCCCCATGGGATGGCCCCAGTGCAGGCTCGAGTGTTGGAGGAGTGTCCTCCTTGGCTTGATCTGGTATCTTTGGGGAGGTGCACCACACGTGGACTGTAAATCCTCTTTCGCTGGCTAGGCCCTTTGGACTCTAAATCCAAACGGAGTGAGTGGTTCGATTCCACTCTCAGAACGAGACTGAACGAAAGAAAATGCAAGTGAAATGAGACGAGAATCAAATTGTAGGCTTATTTCCTCCTTTCAAACCCGCCCGTTCGTTATATCTATAGATAGAGAGAGATCCGTGAAAGTCATTGCCTTATGTTATGGCACGATCAACAACAGGATAGAGAGATTGGGGCAGCTATAGAAGGCACCCAGCCTGTTTCTTCCCAGAAGGCCTTGCCTCTGATGGCAGTAGCTCCCGTGGACTTATTCTATGGCCACTTTGGTTTAAAATAATGTTTGCACTAACTTATGATAAAGTGAATACATATCTACGATAGTTTGATATACTGCTATACTAGTTTTACGTGATTATTGTAACTCTCTCGTAAGTTATTTACTATAACCTTATGGTAAAATCATCATGAGTTATAGAACACATGTATTGTAAATATGTATTTGATTTGTCGTAAATTAGTATATATACCCCATGGCCAACCAATTTGGTAGTGTTGTGTAGAAGTTGCAGAAGAGTTGACGCTCTATTCCAAGTGCTCAAAAGCTACAAAAAAAATGCTTAGGTTAGTTAGGCCACCATTTTGGCACTAGGCTTAAGCTTAGTGTTTAGTGAGCTTTGCATATTAGGGCTGTTTGACAATTGGTGTTAAAGATTGTTGGTTTGTACTTCTTTCATTCCAAATTTTATAAGTTGTTTCTAGCTTTTATAGGTACACATAGCTTTTGCTATATACTATGTTGTGTCTAGATAGATAATTTAGACAACACGATCTGCAATTTGAAACAGGATAATTTAGACAACACGATCTGCAATTTGGAAAGGGTGGAGTATCGATGTACGCAGTTGCAGACTTGCAGTAGTAACATTTCTCTCCATTCGGTAAACTACTGGGCGCATTCGTGTACGGGCTGCTAATACCCAGCGGACAATCGGGCCTCGTTAGCACCGTGGCCTCGGCGAGCAGTGGGCTTCTCCTTCTCCTCCCCGTGCGTGGCCAGTGTGCTGCTCCTTCCGCCACGTATTAGGTTCCGACGCATCTTTGTTCCTTGACTTTATTTGTACTTTGCAGAAGAATGCATATTTTCAACGCGAGGTCGAACCCCATTTCCATTCACGATGAAACGGAAATACTAGAGATTGTTTAAGAGAAGGGGGGGGGGGGTGGGGGAGGAAAGAATATAACAGTTCCAAACAGCTCTACGCTCTGCCCCAGAGCTAGAAGACTGCCAGAAAAAACTACCTGGGCTTAAGCAGCCACATAACCCCCCTAAAAAGACCCAAATGTTCAACTTTAGATATTACAGACAATTTAGAAAGAAAAGCAACAGAGAACTATCCCGAAAAGTAACCCAGTAAGAACCGGGCAAATCCATCAAACTTCTCAAATCATCACCATCTCAGCACGCGCCCTTCAGTTGTTCTGGGCTCCATCGTCACGATGATCATCATACTTCAAGCGCTTGTTCGTGTCCCCAGCTGTCTTCTTCGGCAGAAGCAGATCGGTTGCCACCTTCAGCATTGTGTTGACACCATTGATGAGCATCCTCCTATCAACTTCTGCATACAGACCTGTCCAATATTGCATTAGAGCTCCTGCGTGACATAATATTTCTATCGGATTTCTTATTAGTTTCCCTTCAAAACACGCACTGTTTCAAGCCTTCCAGAAAGCGCCGGTCCTAGGATTTTTTTTTTACCTAGAACGAAGCTAAAATTTTGAGCCTTTTGATATAACCATGATAATAGTACTAGTACTATCCATTGGTAGCATATATATATACACATATATAAAATGTTACTAATAAGCAGTTAGCAGAATGCAAAAGCAATATTCATATGAAATAATTTATATACATATTAAATTACCTCAAAAATTTCTTCTAACATTCCTTAATGCAAAGTCATTGATGATGGTGTCAATATCAATCTCAACCAACAATCGTTTCTCAATACACAATGTAGGGATTGAAACAATTAGTAACTATAATTTCATAAAGTAGGGATCGAAACAATTAGTAACTAAATTTTCATTCCTACCCTACCTTGCTGGTTGCTACCGCCTGGCGCCTGCCTCCTTGGCTGGAACTGCCGATTGTTGCACAGGGAATCAGGGATCGGATCACGTAAGAGGTGAGATTAGGGCCCTTGTGAGGTGTGATTTGCCACCCGCTCTGTCGCTCTGCTCTGTTGGAAGTGGACGCCGCGTCACCGCCAGGCCCCGCCACGCGCCATGCGCCCACGCCGCACACGCAGGAAAGGAAAGGCCGAAGGTCGCGTACTCGCATGACTCCAGGCTCGCATCTCACGCGCCGTGATCGCAGTAGTCGAGGAGTCGAGGATCTGGCTACTGGCGTCTACGTATTACTAGTGTATACATACATGGGTTGGGGCCCATAGATGGAATTTCCCACCAGATGGCAGCCAGAACTCACTCCATTCCCAGCATTGTGCCAAGGAAGTGGGGATATTATTGGCGCCTATAAGCTTAGCAATACCCCCAGACAACTTTGGCAATGGGACAAGTGAAAAAAAAGATGGTTAATCGTCTCATCACAGTTACAAAAGTAGCATTTAGGATTTCCAGACCATCTTCTTCGAATCATGTTATCTTTTGTTAACAGGGCATCATTAGCCATAAGCCAGATGAAGATTTTTATCTTGGGTGGAACTTTGCCTTTCCAGATTCTCTTATAAGCTGGTCCAGCATCAGACTTTGTCAATGCATTGTACATAGATTTCACGGAAAACTGTTTGGATTTACCAAACTTCCACACGACAACATTGTCGGGTATCGATATTAGGGATACCCGGAGGAAGGAAGTTTACGGCCACGAACGTTAATTCGCCCGGATGGTCCAATACGTATTTAAGGTCTCGCCAGACCCCTCGGGCGCGGGCTCCGTCTCGCCCGACCCCGAGGGCGTGGGCTCCGTCTCGCCAGAACCCTCGGGTGCGGGTTCCGTCTCGCTCGACGGGGATCCATACCGCCTCCAACCACTACGGGTCTAAGAATACGACCCCAGGGTTAAACTTCCGACACCGGGAGGGAAGCGGGCATGTCTCGACGTGACCCGTGGCCACGACAGACCATACATGGGGGCTCACGTCGCCAACAATGTCGGGCGTGCCGGCGCTGTGCTGCCTAATCCCTATACGGCTTATGATAGGAGTACCAGTTGACCACGCCGCCCGTCGAAACGGAGTGGAGCGCCGCGATCGGCTGACGACGCCTGCGTATAGCGCCAATGATGAACAGGGCCGCGACGTGGAGCCATCCCCGTCATCATCTACAGGACCGGCGGGGCCCGCATAAAAGAGATGAAGGACGCCGCGACCCTGGAGGCCTTCTTCTCCCTCGCAAAGGAGAGAGACGAAGGTCAAAGACACGAACATGACGTACCTGGCCGACCGGCGTGACGACGTCCTGCAACGAGTTTAGCACGGTGGTCAGGGCATTGACCGCGATACCGACCCCCGTATCAACGCGCCCCTACTCCCTCTCCTCTACGTCGTCGTTCTGGGTGAAGA